TCTAGAGCCCACTTTGAAACACATCTGGATGCTTCCGCACTGCGTAGGACTGATCGGAGAGGGTGATCTGTTAGTACCCCAATGCTATGCCCCTAAAAGTAATGCATGAGCTTCCTTGTCGCCATAACTAGGGCTAGGATGAGCTTTTTCTGCGAAAGGTAGCGTGTTTCGGCGTCAACCATTACCTTGCTCACATAATACACTGGCCGCTGCTCCCCCAGCTCTTCCTTCATCAATACGGCGTTGACGGCTTGGTCGAAACTGCCAGGTACAGAATGAGCAGGTCGCCAGCAGAGGGTGTTGTCAGGAGTGGTACTGAGCGGAGGTAGGTCTTCAGGCCGTTGAAAGCGGCTTCACAATCGGTGGACCATTCAAAGGCCTTGCCCTGCCGTAGTGTATGAAAGAATTGTCGGCAGCGATCTGTGGACCGGCTGATTAACCTGTTCAGTGCGGCAGCCATCCCCATCAACTTTTAGACCTCCTTTACTGAACAAGAGGAGCCGAGCTCCAAGATTGCTGTGATTTGCCTTGGGTTGGCTTCAATTCTTCTGTGGTTAACAATGTAGCCCAAGAATTTGCCAGAGCCGATACCAAACGCACATTTGGAAGCGTTCAACTTCATTCCATATTTGCGTAGGATGCCGAATGTCTCTTCTAGATCAGCTATATGATTCTGCTCTTCTTTGGACTTGACCACCATATCGTCGATGTACACTTCCATCGTTTTACTGAGTTTCTCTTTGAACATAGTGATGACCAGTCTCTTGTAGGTTACCCCTACATTCTTCAACCCAAAAGGCATTACCTTATAGCAATAGGTTCCTCTTGGGGTAAGGAATGCAATTTTCTCTTGGTCCTCCGAATGCATGGCGATTTGATGATAACCTCTATAAGCGTCAAGGAAACTCATACGCTGATGACGTGCGGTAGCATCTACGAGCTGGTCTATTCTGGGAAGAGAAAAACAATCCTTTGGGCAGGCTTTGTTTAGGTCCGTGAAGTCGACGCACACTCGCCAAGTCCTATTTTTCTTTTTTACCACCACAGTATTAGAGAGCCATGTAGGGTAGGTCACCTCCCTAATTGCTCCGGCGTCGAGCAGTCTATCGACCTCCTCAACAACGGCGACAGTGTGCTCTGCGGCTGACCGCCGGCTTTTCTGAATGATCGGCTTGCACTTAGGATCGACATTCAAACGGTGCTGTGAAACTGACGGATCTATACCCGGCATCTCATACAGAGTCTATACAAAGACATCGAGGTTACTCAGTAGGAAAGATATTAGATACTGTCGGTCGGCTTGATTCAAGGAGGCGCCAACCATGAAGAACTTGTCTGGGCTTCCATCAATTTGAACTTGTTCTAAGTCTTCCGTTGCTTTTTCCTTTGGGAGTCGCCCAACATCATCAAGGCTTTCTCGATCCGGCAACTCAATGGAATTCACTTGTAGTGCCTTTGGCGTTTTCTCCGCAAGGAGGTAACGTGCTTATGACGATTTCTGGGAGCCGCAGATTTGCTCAATGCCGCGTTCTGTCGGGAAGCGGAACAGTTGATGATAGGTGCTGGGCACGGCTCGCATAGTATGCAACCAAGACCATCCCATGATGAGATTATACGGTGATGGCAGCTTGACGACCAAGAATCCCACATCCATTGTTCGGGAACCTGCTCGAACGGGCAGTCGGATTTTCCCCAATGGGTATTCTGGATTGACATTAAAGCCGAATAGTGGATAAGGGACCGTGGAGAGATCCGATTCGGAGAAGCCAAGCTTGGTGAATGTCTTGTAGTACATAATCTCCGAAGTGCTCCCGGATCGATTACCAAGGGATCAATGTGGGGCAGTGTTACTCTGGCCAAATCTGAATCATCGAAAGTGATAACCTCGGCTTCAAGGGGCCGTTTAGCCGGAGTGAGTTGCTTGTGATGGTTACACTTCGACTGAATCGCGTGTACCTCCGATGAGATCGGCATGTTGTATATCATGTGGATTGCGCGAAGTGAATGTGAATCCTGTGTCGAGGCTATTGCTTTGGCTGGGTTGCCTTTTCGGACGTACTGTTGTAATCGGCCATCTTGTGCCAATTTCCCGTCGTGCGAGGTGAATAACGGTGCTATGAATTTCTGAGATAGCACCGCCCTTGAAATCTGTCGTACAGAAGGATCCTGTTGATCGTCATTCGAGCTGTTTCTTCTTCGCTTTGGCCTTGTACGGGGACTCTCTTCAGGAGAACTGAAAATTACAGATCGTCCCTTCTTCTTGGGCCTCGAGGATAATGAGTCGGAGTTGCTATCAGTATCTTGTTGTTGGGCTCGAGATCGTTGACCATCTGCTTTTGAAGATCGTTCCGGATTTGGGCGCGCAGCTTGTGCGGACTTCGCCATTTCCAAGGCCAAATTTTCACGAAGACGTTCCTTCTCAGCGATCATGTTTTCCAACCTCTGTTCGTTTTGCTTCGCTTGTTCTATGATCGCCCGCATTATCTCATGCTCCGAAGTCGATGGTGAGGCAAAATTCAGGGCACGTCTTGCGGTGATAGTCTCTGTTCCAAGCAAGTTTGTTGGAGCGGTTTCATCTTGAGGTATGGGGTTGATAGTGACTGTCGGAGGATCTTTCGTCACGTTCGCCATGAATGTGCTTGAGTATTCGCACAGACGGCGCCAATTGTGGGGATGTGGTTTGGAAATACTCTTTAGGATCTTGGGAAACGCTCGTGATCCTTTTCTGGTCACCTGAAAAAGAATAAACATTCCGGTCAGGGGTGCCGAAATTAGCACTCCGATGGGCAAGTTAGTATCTACACTCGAGGAAGCTTGTATTCTAAGTTAAGCACAATAATTCTCACATACCTCTTTCTGGCTGATGTTTCTCCTATTTATATCTTTTCTCCTTTGGGCCTCGGGATTAGATCCCTTTCCCACCTCGTATTCGGCACATTTTATGACTGTCCGATCTTCACTCGGCCCCTTGCTCAATCAGTCATTTAGGCGAGTAGGGTTGGATTTGAGCTTTCGGGCCCATTCAGCTATGAGCACCCTCTCT